GACTTCTTTGAGGAGAGCTGTCAATGCGCTGAGAATGTGGATCTTCAACTCAGGCCAAGTGGAGGGAGCGTCCAGTGAACCACTAGGACCAGGCGGGATATCTCCCAGGAGGAGAGGGACATCTCACCTCCCAGCTGGTCAGAGCTGTGAAACTGGTCCCATGCCATCCATGGCAGGACTGAGACAGGATGTGGGGAGAGGCTTCTTAGGAGGGCTTGACCTGCGTCCCCAGGAACTTAGGGAAACAGAGGCCGGAGCCCGACTGCAATGAGGTCTGCAATGTGACCTGAAATGCTCCAACATAGCCAGGGTGATGCCATGAGTGTCTGTTCGGCTCTACCCTTCCCCATGCTCCAGGGGCAGCGACCTCCCACAAACCATCCAATGGCAGAAGTGGACTAGGATGGTTCAGAACACTGACACTTACCTGGAAATATCCAGAGGTGAGATTCGGGCTGGAGCTGCCTGGGACAGGAGAGTGATGAGGCTGGTGAGCAGGGCGGGCACCTGCAGTGCTTTGCAGAGCAAAGAGGTGCCTCCACTGGGGGTCAGACGGAGGCTGTGGAAGGTGTCAACATGAAAGAGACCCCATCCAAGAAGATGGAGTGAGGTGCTCCTAACAGAAAGTTGGCTTTTTTACAGGGTGCGCTGTGGTGGAGGAGCTGAAGGAAGAGCTCGTAGGAGTCAGCCAGTAGTTGGGACACCTTGGTGGACAACTGTGTGGTTGGAGATCTCCCAAATCCTCCATGAGTAAGGAGCTGTCACTGGGACATCTACCTCACTCGGAGTCGGTCCGATCTGCCCCTTCCCTCCCCACCTTGGAGGAGCCAGAGCCTGCAAAGTGAGTGCAGAGGAGTGGGAGAATCAGGTAGGAAACTGGTCGAGAAGCTGACCGCCTTTCTCCCCAGCACACCCTCTGCTCTTCTGCATGGTTCAGAGTCTTATTCAGGCCCAAACTAGGGTGGGAGAAGCTTTATATTCAACTAGAGGCCCAGTGAACAAAATTCGTGCACAGGGGTTCCCTCCGCCTGGCCGGCGATCGGGGCTGATCAGGGCCATTTCGCCCAGTCCCAATCAGGGTCAATTGGGGCCAGTAACTGGGAAGGGACCACAGGAGGGACCTCGGGAGGGTTCCAGGGTGTGTCTGGCCCTGCCTCACCCAGTCCTGATCAGTGAACCCCAGCAGCAAGCTAACCTACCCTTTGGAGCATCTACCCCCTGGTGGTCAGTGCACATCCTAGTGACCAGTCGGTCGACTGGTCGGTTGGACACTTAGCATATTAGGCTTTTATATATATAGATGAGAGATTAAAGCTTTGCTGTGAGACTAGACTGGACTTTCCATACCTAAAAGTGAGATGTCTATTAATACCTGAAAGTGACCAGAAAAACTTTAGGATAGCCTAGCATTTCACCTCCGAACGTGGAAGAATAATCCAGCAGAGGGAGCTTAGGAGGTTGGTGATGAGAGAAAAATTCAGTGGTTTAGTTTTTATATCCAACTGAGTCCAAATTGTTCAGCCTCTACAGCTTTTGTTACTGAATGAAGGGACTTGGTATTTTTACTGTGATTTTCAGAATTATTTATCGTTGTATATCATTAAGTAGAAATCAAGGGGTGGCAAATTCATTTTCAAGCATATTCTTGAAGACCACAAACTAAACAGCAGTGGGATGGGGAGGTAAGGTGACATGAATTAGTCACCTGGTGCTACCATAATAATACATTACCACAAATTTATTAGACTACAGCTTTGGGGGTCAGAAGTCCAGCACGATCTCAGTGGGCTAAAATGAAGGTGTCAGCAGGGCTTCGTTCCTTCTGGAGGCCCTGGGGAGAATGCTGTTTCCTTACTGTCCCAGCTTCAGGAGTCCTCCTGCATGCCTTGAATCGACGCCCCCACCCCATGTTCAAAGCCAGCAGCACGCATCTTCAATCTCTCTCTCTGCCTCTCCTGCCTCCATCTTTCACTCATAAGGACCCTTGTGACTGCATAAGACTCCCCCAGATAACCCAGAGCAATCCCGTTAACCTCAAACTCCTTCACTTACTTTATCTGCAGAGTCCTTTTTGCCATGCATAGTGATATATTCACAGGTTCTGGAGACGGGGGTGGGTATCTGGAGGGGGTGTGTTTGGCATTATTCTGCCTGCCACAGACAGGCCCAAGCACAGGGCTGGGCCTGTGGCTCACCTCTCAGAGAAGCCCAGAGCCCTTGCTGACTAGAGCCAGGTGTCACGGTGGCCTCGAGGAGAGAGGTTCTGCCTAATCTTGGGGAAAGCACATCATCTATTCATACCTGTTTCTTCATCTGTGGAATTACAGAATTGGCAGTGTCTTCCAAATCTAAACCCTCGGCGCCCTTTCTCTTTAGCAAAATAAACATTGGAAGAAATCCGGCTGCTGAGCTCAAGAAACCAAACTGGCTTTGGGTCACACGGGGCTCTGACAGCCGCAGGGAGGAAGGCAGGCAGCCCTCTGCTTTCCCAAAGGTGGGGGTGTCCACAGAAGGCACAGGTGTGCGGTTCTCCGATTCCCCGGTTCCCCAGTTCCCCAGTGGGAGGCCTCTCCACGCAGGGCAATGCCCTGCTCTATCCCTTTCTGCTAAATCACCCTTGAAGGCCTTGGGCGATGGTGCCAATCTCAGAAGCAGCTGCTGACTCAGCACTGCCTGAGTGGTCCAGGGAAGCCCCAGTGGAATGAGTAACTGCACCCCCCCACCTACCCCCCGCCCAGCCCCTGGGCCTCCTCCTTCAAGTCGGCACACAGACTCCCTCTGGTCTCCTTGGAGCCTCAGGCTCTTAGAACAGCAGGTCATAGAACATGAAATGGAAGGAGCATCAGACACCATGTCACAGCCGTCCTTCCCATCATGTGATCTCGAGCTGGTTGTGTGTTTTGTTGGTCCAGCTGTTCTGATAAATCGCACTGTTTTTGTGGCCTGGTTCCTCCTCTGGTCTGGCCTTAAAATTAAGGTACACTTTCCACCTCAGCCCAATGACCTCAGAGAGACACCCAGCTCCTCAGGAGCCACCTTTCCCTTCCATTTTCCAGGTCGTGTCATCTACCAGCAAGAGCTCTGGGCCATAAACCAGGACTTCCTGTTCCTGTCCTCTGCGCAGCCAGGGGCCTTCAGCCAGTCACACCATCCTATGGGGCAACATTGGACTCTATTTTCTCCAAAGTCCCTCCAGTGCCAAGATGAGGGGTGGGAGTAGGTCGCCCTAAAAGTCCTCCTCGGTTCTGAAAGCCCCTCTTCCTCTGGCCCAGAGCTCCTGACGTGGGGTCTGGCTGAGTCTGGGGGAAACCCTCCTTGGGTCAGCTTTGACCAGTGGTTGCGACTGCCGCGTCTGATCGCTTCCCAGGGAGGCACCGGACCCCCAGCCTTGGGAGAACCAGGCACTCTGCCAAGGCTCCTCTCCTTTCCTCAACAGGCTTCCCATCCCTCCTCCCAACCTAGACTAGACCGCCACCTCCACTCACCCGTCTCCTGGGGGGTCAGGGCTGGGGCTGTGGAGATGCAGAGACTGAACGGTGACTCTGATTCTTCACCCAGGTGACGGGCCTATCATGCCTCCTCTGTGGGGCCTGCCTAACCAGACCAGCACTGGGTCACTGTGTGAGTGGGGAGAGATTCCTGCCTGTTGGTGACCCCGGGGACAGGCCCGGCTCAGTGGGTGGATGTCACCTCTGTCCCCAGAGCGTCTGGAACGCCCAGGGGCCCATCCACGGGGCCCCACCAACCCATCCCCCTCTCCAGGCCTCTGTGTAATGCCATGACTTGGCCTCAGGCCTGGCCACACTTGGCCAACGGCTACTTGCTCCCAGAACCCTCTTGGCTCCTTGGAACCACAAGGCTGCTCTCAGAAAGTACCAACCACCAGTGGCTTTCTGCCACATCCATGTCAGAGTCAACTGGCATCTCACGATTCCCTTTGAAAAATGCACAATCTTTTTCTGCTCATCCAGCAAAGGGACAACCTGCCTTTTATTTCTCACATGGGCTTGTGCACCATTCTCATCACTTCTGGGGGACACTGTGGGGACTAGCTACCCATAAGGCCCCGCCCCCGCTCGGAGGCGTCCTTCCCCCTGGTGAGCTGAGGGCAGAGAGGCCTATGTTCCTGTGTGCACTGCAGGCCACCAGGCAGCGTGCGGGGTGTCCCCTGGGGAGGCAGGAAAGCCGCCTCTGAGATGGATCGTGTGGTGCTCTGTGCTGTTTTCTTCTGGTCTTTCCTACCCTGCTGCACCCCTAGCCCAGGCACTGCAGGCAGACGGAGCGCCTGCTTCCTTATCCTCCGCACAGGGAATGCCTCCTGTGTGCCTCTGACATTGCTCAGTTCTCCAGGGAGGGAGGGGATGAATGTCTCCCACCTACAGGCTCAGCCTGCGGTGGGCCACGCAGACGGAGTGAACAAAGGCGTGCCTGGCCCCAGGGAGGCTGGGGTGGGCCGGCCTGGAATGTGGGGTCCCCTCTGCCAGTTTGTGGAAGGGCTGCGCGGCATTGCCCACATGGTCAAGGGTAGGTCTGGCCGCCCGGTCCTGCCCTGGTCTGCTCGGAGGATCCAGGTCGGCTGAGGCTCTGAGAGAGAAGCACCGCAGGAAGAGCCAGGACATTCCGGTCGGCCCGCCTCTGCCTGGGTGACCCAGACCCACAGGACCCGGTACCTCCCAGCGGGAGCCTCTCCGATCACTGCTGCCCCGCCCGCCTGATGGGGGCGGGGTGGGGCTGATGCGAGGCGCAAACACAGCCCTCTCCGAGGAAACGCTGGGAGAAGCACAAGCCTTTTGTGAGTCAGCGGTAGGAGTCCTGGCTCAGTCTTTGCCCACCATCTACCGCCCAGATTTCCCGAGAGCATCTAGTGAGCTGGTGCTGCCCCCCAGCGGCCAAATCGCTCCCCGTAATTCATTTCTCTTATATTTCATTTCAATGACCACCACAAGAAAAATCACATGAATATGTAATAATGAATTTAGCCTGGGTTATACCTATTTTTATACCAATGCAGTCATAAAATATAATTTTATTTTTAAATATAATTTTAAATTTATATATTTTAACTGAGGAAGTGGCCCACAAAAGGAGAAGTGTATAATGCAGCCTGGACCCAGGTGGGAAGTGCTCCCAGCCGCCCTCAGCCGCCCTCCCCCGCCCGGGCTGCTCCTCTGACCTGCAGGGAGCCTGGCTGAGGCCTGATGGTGTCACTTGCAAAGGCTTCCCCCAAAGGGCCCCGTATTTCCCCCAAGAGGATGGGGACAGGATGGAGGAACAGGTGAGAAACCAAAAGCACTTAACTGCTCTTCAGCCTTTAAGACCTTTACAAATCCCCCAAGGTTTTGGCCTGGAGAGAAATTAGAGTTCCTGCTTATTTAAGTTCATGACAAGTGACCAGTCACTGCTCTAGGAGAGGCCTCCTGCTTCCGAGGCACACGCTCTCACAGGCTGCTGCCACAGCAACTGTCCCTCTTTCCAGATGAGCAGCTTTCAGTTCCAGAGGTCACATGCTGGAGAGAGGGGAACAGCCCGCACCCAGGTAATCTGGCTCCACACCGCGCCCCTTCTCCCAGGACATTCTGGTCGGCCCGGACATTCTTGGAGTTGGACCACCCTGGGCCTGCTGATTGAGAAGGAAGAAGGAGGTGCCACTGTGTAATGGTTAGCACCCTGGACTCTGAAAACGCAGAATGAGAACAGTCTGCCTGGTGGTGGGGAGAAACCCTGCAAAAAAAATAATAAAATAACAAGCCTTTCCCTTCATACCTGTGGAATAAACAATCCGGTCAACAGTCATCCTCTAGGCATGGTGAGTAATCTGCTGAAACTCTTGCTCTTTGATCTGGGCAGCTACTTTCTGTTTCCTTTCTCATTGGACAGAGATTCCTACCGAGCCTTTGTCAACATTCCAGATATCCCTTTACTGCCCTGACAGCCTTTCCCCAGGCCCCCGAGGAGCTCCCTCTGAGACCCAGCTTCCTGGCGTTGGGACTGGGATGAACGGTTCCCAGACTGCTGAAGGCTCCCCTGCGTGCCCCCCTCCAGCTCAGGGCCCTTGCTCTCCCCGTCCTAAGTGGGCAGGATGACGGGCATCCAGACACTCACTGCAGAACTGAGGAAAACTGGGTCCACCTGTGGCAAGTATCACCTTGCTTTAAGGAAACCAGTGAGCTCAACACAGAAAAGCCTGGAGGGTCTAACTAAAAGTGAAGGGGCAACCTGGCCGGTGTGGCTCAGTGGTTGTGCATCGACCTAGGAACCAAGAGGTCACGGTTAGATTCCTGGTCAGGTTGTGGGCTCGATCCCCAGTAGGGGGCATGCAGGAGGCAGCCGGTCAATGCTCTCTCTTATCATTGGTGTTTCTATCTCTCTCTCCCTCCCTCTCCCTTCCTCTCTGAAATCAATAAAATTCATCAGAAGTGGAGGGGCATGTGGACAACTGTGTCACAGAGGCTTATAGAGACCCATCACAGACACCGCTGGATCCAGGTGGGGATTTCCTGAGAAGGGCCCCTGGCACCCACAGGGCAATAAAGTGACACGTGAGCTTGCTTCTTTATCCATGTGAGGCTGCGCCCAGATCTTTGTCTCTGGGGTGGAACTAAGTCCTTGGGTTCTTACACAGTCTAGGAAGACTCCCATTTCGTCAACACCTCCTGTGTGCAAGCCCCTGCCTGGCGTGCCTGCGTATGGCCTCCCATTTCACCATTAGGAACACCTGTGAGGTTGGGCTCATTTGTCCTGCTTTACATATTAGTAAATTGAGGTTAAGCGAGGCGGAGAGATTTGGCCAAGGGCGCAAAGCTCCTTAGGAGAGTATGATGTCAGCTCCAGAGAACACTGCGCGTAGCTTACCTGACCCAAGACACGTCTGGGTCCTTTTCTGCTTTGGGCCTGAAGGGAGTCCCTCGGCATGTGAGGTGGGTGCCTCTGATCTTCCTGTCGGTTGGATTTCCAAATGGAGTGATCACATCACTCAGCTATGCATATGCGTGTGCCTGCACTCATCGTTGGCCTTTGTCCCAGTTTCCTGTCCTCTTCCTCCACCGCACAGGAAGGCCAAGTCGTGACTGTGCCAGGCCCCGTGGCCTCATTTGTCTGTCTGCCACAGAGGTCTGGGCAGCTGTGGGGCAACGGACTGAGATAAGAAGGGAGAAAACATGGGCAAGTCAGGCAGAAAACCCAAGTCAGGCAGGCCTGGGTTTAAACTCCAGCTCTGCCATAGTTTCAGGAAAAACCACCCAGGTTCTAGGATGGGGATGGGGACAAGGAGGTTCAAGTCAGAATGGTGTGGCCTCAGCCAGCATCTGAGTAGAGGGCGGATGCCAGCGCCAGCTCTCTCTTGAACAGTGGTTCTCAACCTTGGCTGCACATGAGAATCACCTGGGAATCTTTTCAAAATCCTGATTTCTGGGCCTCATCCTCTGGAAATTCTGTTTCTTTGTTCCTAATGAGTGTGGCCCGACCCCATAACAAAGAAACAGAATTTCCGGAGGATGAGGCCCAGACATCAGGATTTTAAAAAGATTCCCAGGTGATTCTAATGTGCAGCCAAGGTTGAGAACCACTGCTCTAGAACATCCAGAGATGAGACACGGGCCGCTGCTGGTAGCTGGCAACCCTCAGCTCATGGGACACAATGTTGGGGTTCCCAAACAAGACCCAGGTGGCTCCTGTTCCCCCAATTCTCTCTCACACGCTGGTCTAAAATGCACTGAAGGCTCTGGTCATGAGCTAAACGTAACCACCCCTGGGACAGCACTTTGCAGTGCTAACGAGCAGCAAAATGGAACAGGGAAGAACACGTGTGGAGCCCATTAGAATCAGGCTTTGCACTCGGTCTCGTGGCCTCTGTTCTCTCATCTTCAACATATAATCGATAACAACATATAGGGACAACTGACAGTGTAGGGCTGCTCTATGCAGTTTTTACATAAATTAGCTAATTTAGTAGTCAATGCCCACAATAGCCTGATTCCCATTTTCCCAGGGAGGCGGGCATGCAGGTCAATCACCTGCCCAAGGTCACGTAGAGTGTGAGGAGCAAAGCTGCACTTTGAACTCAGCAGTCAAGTGGCAGCGTCCCTGCTCTTGACCTCCACACCGTTCTTGTTCTTAGGGGGATGCTGAGGCCTCCCTCTTAGGTATGAGGGCAGGATTGAGAGAGATCATCTAAAGCTCCTGACACCAAGCAAGGACTCAATTAATGCTCTTTCCCTTCCTGGCCTTTTAGATTTGAGAGGAGAGAGCCACAGCCTACCTGTCTCAGCCAAGGTCTGCCTTGCACATATAGGTGCTCAGCCAGAATCTGAGGCATGAACGAAAGGGCAGATTGTGCTAAGGTGGGCGGCAGGAGGAAGGGGAGCACTGGAAATAGTTATGTGTATGTGAGGCCGAGGTCTGAAGCTGTGGCAAGTGCCCGGGTTTCCTGGGGCCAGCCCTGCATGCTCAGGTGCCACTTCACTGGCTGGGGCTGGTTCTAGAGGATGTTGGCTTCAGCTTCCACCTGCCCCTATATCAGTGTTAGCCTCGGAGCTCACTAAAGGCCTGGGAGCCCCGGATGACTGGAAAGCCACTGGAGAGGAGGAGGCACCTGCCCTCCCCCAACACTCCCTCACCCCCCCCCCCCCACACACACACACACACTGCTCTAGTGCTGAGAAAGGACCAGGGCTGCTCATTAAGGGTGGCAGTGTGGGGTGGGGTGTGGAGTGGGGAGGGGGCAGGCTGGTATACGGGAAATAGGACTGTCTGTTCCTGGCTTATAAAAGACCAGGCCCACACCCAAGCAGTGGCACCGCACCAAGCTCTTGCCCGAATCAACCACTGGGAAATGAATGTTCCTGAGAACCCCAACTAGGTGTCCTGTAGGGGCAGACCAAGCCCACTCTCTTCATCGTCCTCCAGCCCTTCTGGGACCAATGCAACCCCAAACCGGCC